AAACACAAGGTACATCAGCGGCTGTGTCGATTGTGATTTCAGACACAGGGTGGTTGTTCACTCGAGCGGGAATATGTACCCGTTTCGATGTGGAATCCAATGCAGTTGGAAATTTCGGATATTTACTCAACGCAGATGCGTGAAAAGCTGCAAATCGTGAACCACGACGCAACGCACGCGAAAACCCATAGGGTTTAATTTCTTTATTCAAAGGCTCTCCAGGCGGAACATGTCGTACTTGCGGGGCTACTGCTAAGGGTCTGATACTAGTCTTTTTCCCTCTTCGACGTTTCCCTGCACTACTGAAAAATAGTCCCTTGCTTGGTGCCTTGCTAGGTGTTTCTGCTACCAGAGGAGAACCAACCGATTCCACAACCTCCTTACGTGTAACAGAATTATTCCTATCAAAAACTCGGCCTGAAGTTCTATCCACTTCTCGTGCCCGATGCAAAATGCAATCCCTCGTTTTTCCACCCTTCATGGCAACATTAGTTGAGCAAAGTACGGCATCTCGCGCTACCTCACTCCTCTCAACTACTGTTGCATCGGTGGTCCTGCTCCCTTCGGGCGAGGGGTCCCTTGAAGGGCCCCATCATCCCGTCAAAGGTCGGCGCTCCCATCCACCTTTCCTCTCCTTTTGGCGAAGGTGACAGCAGTAGTCAGTGTCGTGTGTGTCGGGGTTGGGACACCCGGGGTAGTCGCAGTGCCTTTTTTGCTTAGTTCTCGGTTTGTCCGTCTGCGTGGACCCCGAGGTGCGCTTTGGTTGCGTTGTCTTACTGCTAGCGCGCCGCGACGGTCCCCGGGGGTGGCTGCTTGTGGCGGCATCACGCGACTTGAGGTGCTTGACCTCAGCAGCCAACTCCCGGAGTTCGGAGGTGTGAGCCTCCACCGTGGACCGCAGCTGTGGCCGGTCATGTGAGACAGCCGAAGCGTGTGCAATATCGAGGGTTGTGGGAGAAATGCCTTTTAGATTGTTTGCCTCGTGCTTCTTTGCACGGTAACGAGCTTCTTGGAAACTCATAGTTGCGTCTTCTCGAACAGTCTCCACTCTGATTTTTGGGATTAAGCCGTTCTCAAACGTTGCAGTGGTAAATACATCCCATGCGTGTTCGTGTGGGCTGATATTCGGCGGGGCGGATCGAGTAGCTTCCGCAATAAGGCGCGCGCGTGCTTGTGTGACTCTCAATGCATAGGTATCCACGGACTGATCTACTGCCTGTTCCAAAGTGGCAAATTGTCGGGCCAAAATGGATATGCGGTTGGGAGCGGAGAACTGAAAGTAAAGGGCGTGACAGTATTCGGCCCAGGAGGAAGGAGCCACCGGCCGAGTACTTGCACCCTTTGCACGAAGCTCAGCTAACTGTTCTGCGTTACGCCACTCGAGCGTTCCCTGGGTCAACTGCAACAGGGTATCGTACGCAGCCCCTCGCAGAAGAAGCGGGAGGTATCGCACAGCACGTTGGTCGACTACATGGTCAGGGCAGTTGTCGACTGAGTTCAGTTTCACACGTGCACGGTATTGCGCCAAAAGTTCTACAATATCTTGCCCAGGTGCCCCTGAGAAAACAAGATCTTTGGGTAGGTCTGCGGGTTTTAAGACGAAACGAGCAGACGTACCCGTAGTGTGCGCTGACGGGTGTTCATCAGCGCGCACAGTAGAGTGTGTAGGTGAGGCATTCGACATCACTAGAGGGTCGCTAGTCCTGCTGGTGTTGTCGATTTCTCGTGGGGTCTCTACGGATTGCGGAGAAAAATCGTTTACTAATTGCTGAGACGGGATAGGTGACTGCTGTGAAGCAAAATTAGATGGTATGCTGTTGTCACGCCGGAGGTTCGGGCGGGCACTACCCTCGCTACCAACGTTGGGTTCGTGTCGGACAGCAGGCATGCTACCACCTACAGTATTCACCTTTCGCGAGTTGGCGGGCAGTACAATGGACATGAGCCATTCGGGAGGTTCGGTCCCATCACGGTGGTGCTGTTTCAGCATCTCCACAATGGGTGCGCCAGCCGGAGATGTAAGAACCTCGGGCTCCTCATCTTCGGGTTCCTCCTCATCGGCCCAACGCCCCTGCTGCTCCCGACCGGCGGCAGGAGGAACATCCTCATACTCGTCTCCACTCTCGCCGTCGACAAACGTGTCGCGCTGACCGGAATCACCGCCATCTTCACCGCCGCTGGTGGCACTCGCGCGGTCGGCACCCTCAGGGTCATCCGACTTTTCCTCAAGAAGGCTGCTATCACCCGAGGGGCGTGAAGCCGGCACGCGTTCCGAGGGTGTCCCACGTGCTAGCGGGGTTGTCGGGTGTTTGGCGGCGAGGCGTTGCTTGAGCTGCTCTAGCTCAGCTTCCAGCTCAAGGCGGCGTTGCTGCTCCTTGAGCCTCTTTTCCTCCGCCGCGTCCGCCTTATCGCGAGCGCGTTGCACGGCTGATTTTTTCGGCATCTCTCACCTCTACCTCCAGTACCAGCAGAGTATCTTTTAATTCGTCGACGCCAATGAGGACACAGGCTTCCCTCGTTAGGGGGGAAGGCCCAGGTCGCAGTAGTCTTTTCCCACTACTAAGGGCTGGCAGTTCTCTTCGTCGAGATTTAGAGAGGAGAGGGTCTCAGAAGAGAGAGACAAGAAAGAGAGTGCCGCCGAAGGGGCGAGGGAGACCAAGCCCGAGGGTCTCGGATTCCCAAGCTCCACAGGTGGCGCCAAGAGGGACGCATCCACAGTCGGGTCTCTTGCTGATCAACCATCAGTAAGATCCTCCGTTCGGATCGTATCTTGGTCCTACTTTTGCATGTGCAACAACAATGGTTACAGCACTTCTACACCTGTCATCCACATAGACATATATTTATCTCGCTCTTGTGAAACAAAAAAAAAACGAGCGTATTTCAGCGTCGCACCGAGGAACACCAGTACATATCACTGTCCCGGCGGAGCTACCCTGATGGCTTTTCCTTCCACATATCGCGAAGAGTTCCCTCAACCTCCCCCCGCGGCTTGGCTCTACGGCTCTGTTGGGTTTCATGAGTAAACGAATGAACGGTCTTCGAAAGAAGGAACTGCGTCGCTCGGTTCTCGCCACCCCTTCCCTTCGCTTACAAATACAGATAGCGCCCGCAATTAAGAAAATTCTGTAAGAAAATTGCTCAACTTTGTACGAAAAATAAACAAAAAGGGCTAAGAAACATTGCTCAATCTCGGCGTCGACGTAAGAAACGCCCCAATAAGAAACGTGATGGTGCGATACCCCCATGCCATCAGAAATCTGCGGTGCTCCCAACCCCCTCCCAAGCTGTTTACAAGTGCATTTTTTTGTACGGGGCAGAATCCCCCCCCCGCCCCCCCGCCCCCCCGCGCACCTGCTGTTCACAGTGAGTGCTGTACTGCTGTAGTACTGCCACACATCACGGACAACCATATGCTCTCCGCTGTTGTACGGGTTTGATGGCACTCTCCACCACCTCTCTTGAGGGCTTGATGATGTGGATTGTCCTCAGAGATAAAAAGATAGAAAAAAGAAAATACGAAGTACTTGTTGTAGTCTAAGAAATAAGAGAATCGGGAGGATGCGACAGTCCAAAGGAAGAAGAAATGCCATTTACGAAATGGACGAGTTGGGCCGGTACTTCGACCCAAAAGAAGGGATTGGTGAGGCTCGATCCGATTTTGACGTTTCTTAACTGCGGGCGCTATCTGTAGGATCGAACGTCCTCCAAGCGAGAGGTAACCTCGCCCTCGGTGAGGGACGAGGTTATGCACGACTCTTCTTTGGCGGCATCAGATGGACCGCCGGTGGATGGGCGGAATCTATCCATAGCAACACCCAGTTGCAGCTGCAGCAGCAGACCGCTCGCTACTTCTGCTGTCTGTGCGTCGCTACTTCTGCACTCACTGTGGTGCGTGGTNCTCAGAGATAAAAAGATAGAAAAAAGAAAATACGAAGTACTTGTTGTAGTCTAAGAAATAAGAGAATCGGGAGGATGCGACAGTCCAAAGGAAGAAGAAATGCCATTTACGAAATGGACGAGTTGGGCCGGTACTTCGACCCAAAAGAAGGGATTGGTGAGGCTCGATCCGATTTTGACGTTTCTTAACTGCGGGCGCTATCTGTAGGATCGAACGTCCTCCAAGCGAGAGGTAACCTCGCCCTCGGTGAGGGACGAGGTTATGCACGACTCTTCTTTGGCGGCATCAGATGGACCGCCGGTGGATGGGCGGAATCTATCCATAGCAACACCCAGTTGCAGCTGCAGCAGCAGACCGCTCGCTACTTCTGCTGTCTGTGCGTCGCTACTTCTGCACTCACTGTGGTGCGTGGTTCGTGCAAAAGAGCGGCCCGCAGGTCCGCAGGACAAAAAAAAGGGGGGTACGCGACAGAAAATAGGGATACCCCCATTATCTTATATTCTGCCGGGGCCCTGGTGCTCAGCCAAACGAGTTTCCTTTCAGCGGGGAGTTTCCTTAACGCGAGCGTCCTTAAAGCGGGGTCGACTGTATTGCGAATCTCGGCGTCTCAGATACTCTGTGCGCGTTGCTGCTGTTGCAGCATGACGGCCCCTCATCTCGCTGAGGAACAATGAGATACGAGGAACCAGTAGATAATTCTTCGTCTTTTAATGCCCGCCGCCGGCATATCCACGTCCATTGGCTCGATGAAGTAGCGTTCCTGCTTGACACTATTTTCCCTTTGTCCGGGTTGTAGATCCTGTACGCTTCACTGTTAGCTTGACGCCCAATCAGTTCCCTTGCCAACCTCGGAGCCATCTTTGTGGGGAGCACCAGCGGTGACAAAGGTGCGCACGAGATGGTGTCACAGGCAACAAATCATATGGGCTCACCCGGGGTACCATCGGTTTTCGCGTAACCCCTTGGGCATTTTTTTTAACTTTCTTTGTGACTTGCAACACGTATGGTCTCTGACCCCTTATGTGTATGCCCCCCCCCCCTCTGCCTTTTTCATTCTGCGGTGCCCCATCGTGTGGGGGGTCGTGGATGCCGGTAGCAGGTGCCTGAAGCCGCCTTCAGCTTTCCCGCCCACACTCAGCACTTCCAGGCGAAGGGGGTGCTACGATGTCGAGAAGGCGTGCTTATCAAGAGCTGGGAAGAGAGGTGTGTTATTTCCGCTTCAGTTGTGTGCGTGATGGGGGTAACCTAGCGCCTTTCAAGGCGGGGGACAGGTAGTAGTACACGAGCACACGACGGCAGTACCATAGGCGACATGACGCAAGGCACCCTCACACCCCGAAAACGGTTTTTCAGAGGTCGAATACAACTCCAACGCAGAAGCAGCGGCGGCGCCGAAATCGACGGTGTTGAAACCGTCTCGTTGAGGACTTTCCAAAATCGTGTCACGTCGTTTGTGCATCCATCCTCTTCGTGCCAGTTGCCGGTGCAGTGCCGGTGATTTCGGCGGGCGCACGCTGAGTCCCAAGATATTGCGCTCCGAATCATGCCGGTGTCCGTTTAAGTGCCTGTGTATATCTAGGCACATGCCGGCACTAACCAGGGACCTCTCCTGCATCCCCAACAACTCAACAGGTACTTCGTCTTGGATGGCTTCGAGCTTTACCAGTTTGACGGGCCGGACAGCGCAACAGCCCGCCGAGTGGTCGACCTCCGAGGAAGCGTCGCCAAGATTCGGGCGGGCGACGCCGAAGTGCTGTGCCGCGAACGCTCCGCTTCGACCCAACATCGATTGTTCCCTTTCAAGGTGTGTGTCCTGAGCCTTCTGTGGAGTCATAACTCTCACCCCCCAAGTCTAAGGTTATCTTGACCCCAACATTGGTTTATTGTCTTTTTGGAGGTGCTCGCTCAAGTCTAAGACCATTTTGACCCCCAACCTACTTTTATTTCGTTCTTCAACGTGCGTCTCGTGCCTTGTATGGTGCCACATGTCTTGATGCTACAGGGATGTTGAGGGCGTAACACGAGGTATGGCATCAGCATGGCTAATGATTTATCGGCCGGATATGAGTGATGACCTTATCTTCTTTTCATGTTGGTGTGTTGGAGTTGCTACTGTGTTGTGTCTTATATCTGGGAGGCTGGCTCCTGTACCCCTGGAGTGATCGAGATCACCTTCCTTGGGGGAATCCTGCAGTGACCCTCACGAAAGGTGGTAAGCAGTTTTCTGCTTGGTCGAAAAACCTTAACCCGCGGTGCTAGGCAAGCGCTCATCTCGCGTGCTTGGGGCGTCGAAAACGGCCGAGTTCCACCGATCGATGTAGTATACTTTCTCTTTTTTCCCCTCCGTAATGATGCGCCCTCTCTGCCATGCCGTCCGTGCTCGCGCAGCTGTACGACGCCAAGCATCGCTTGCTGCACGAGCTGGCCGCGAAAAGCACCGGGGATCGGTCATCCTGGGTGGGAACCCTCACCAAGGCCTCGCGATTCTCGGCAGGATCGGGGGACGATCGACGGCAGGCCGCGCTCAACAAAGGTTTCCTCGTGACAACGACGAGGGCGGCAACGGCGGCGGGCGGCGGCACGGGGGGCGGGGGGCATTGAGGAACAGGGGCAGTGAAACGGAGACGGCAGGATAACTGAAGGCGGAAAGAAGGTCAGCCTTTTTTCTATTTGAATGCTTGTAAGCTCTATTGGTCGTCTATGCAGCATTATGTTTGTTGCTCTTGGCTCTGCTGTGCTCTGTCTGAGCGGTTGCCCTCGCGAATGCGTTCCGTGCGTCATGTGGCATCGATGTTGCTGACGTTTCCCCTCGTGTACAGGCGTGAACGCTTGCTGCAATTCGACAACCCCCATCTACCCGTCCAACCACGCTTGGCCATCCATGCACGCAGGTCTCCAGTCCTTCACCGTGACGCACCTCCGAGCCGAGGCCGGCGTTTGGCTCACGCCACTCTTCATGTGCGTGGGAGTGCGGGGAGTGATCTAAGGGCTGGCTGTAAGTGGGGCAACCATTCCGGGGGAGGTTATTTCACTAGGGATCTCTTGCGGCGGGCACCGTTCCGGAAGAATAGGGTGGGGAAAGGGGGAGGAGGGGGGGAGGGGGAACAGGAAGGCCTCGGTCAAGTTTGACGTGTACGTATTGTGGCTCTTGATTAGAAGTGTGACGTGGTTGGCTATGGTGCAGGGCGATGAATTTGACGTGGTTTTGGGCGTCCCATTAGTTTTGTGGGCGTCCCGTGAGTTGAGTGCTGTGGGCGATTTCGGTGGTAGTTTGGCTGTGCTCTGTGCTTATTAGACGTGGTCGTTAGAGCGGATGCTACTTTTTGCTGCACCCCCTCCAATCAGGTGCGAGATGTGTATCCATGTATTTATTGCTTGCCGAGATCCGGTTCCGTGTTTTCGGTGTTGTGGGTCGAAGTGAGGTGGGATATGTTAGCTCGGGCCTGCTTTCGTCGCGACGCAACGATCTTCAGGCGCGCTCCATGCCCAGTTCGCGGCGGTCTGAAGAAGAGCTGCTGAACGGGGCGGCTTCAGGTAGCGAACGGGCAGGGGAGATCGACTTAAGGCGTGCGTGCCACATGCGCGCATGGTAGGTGCGTGGCGTCCAGAGGGACCCGTGTTTATTTCTGCTTGGAAGTTGGGTTGTTTCCGTTTCGTGGCGCAAGCTCGGAAAACATTTGTGTGGTAAATTAAATCATGATGCTCGTTTGGTGTGGTAGAGGTACAATCATATGGTAATTCCCCTTTGGCACGAGGCTGACTGCTCACGCGGTGTTCTGGGACCGTTCTTTTTTTTTGCATCTGGGCGAGCGATCAATCCTTTCACAAAACTGGTGTGCCTGAACACGCCTTTGCAAGAAACTGACTGCCACACATCATGATGGAGGGAGAGAGACGATCGAGGGGGTCGAAACCGTCACGCCCCTTGCTAGTGGCAGGCACAAATGTAGTCGACGAGGGTCCCTCTTTCGCGCGGCAAGTGAGAACTATGGACTTGAGTGTGGGCTTCGCATCTTGGACATGCACCGTTGTGGTACATGGATCTTGTCGTGGAAGGCACGGGTGATAAGAGCAAAGTTGGAGGATTTCCAATGTTCCCGACAGGCCTTGCTGCGACAGCCGTGCAGCGCAACGCAGCACAGGCGCAAAGACGCGTGTTGGTGTGGTGTTGTATTGCCACGAGATGGTGTTCTTAAAAGATCACTCACTCTTATCGTTGAACTACTGTACTACGCCCTCCGACGAGAGAATACAGCAATACTCCTCGCCACTCGATCCAACAGTCGCGCCATCTCCGATATAAAAGGCGGACAAGCTATTTGCCGGCGAGAGCAATGCACCACGCTCTGCTCTTAATTAGATTAGAGATCGTGCACACTACACACAACACATGTATGTGAACCTGTGGCCATACACGTGAATGTATGTGAACCTGGGGCCCTTCATTGGATGTTGGGAGCGCTTTGCTTGTTTTTTAATTAAACTTCACGTACGATTACTGAGCAAGACTATCGTTCCCTGCTACTCAACAGTACTCCCGATGCCACTTCACCACATGCCCTTTGGCTCATCGCCTACCGGAAACGATTTGCCCACAAACCGCCACTCGCTACAAATTCTACACATTCATTCCAAAAACCTGCTGATAGTGCCCAGGCACGATGTCATCATCTCCCGAGGTCTTCGCCAACACTGGTCGCACAGAAATCCAATGCTTCAACAATATCCGACACTCAAAAAGGTATTGCAATTACTTACGAGGTAAAACGCACACCCCAAACCAAGAAAGAGGCACCACAACTATTTACGAGGAAAAACGCATCCGGAACGAAATAAAAAAAAAAATCAAAGTACCAACTATTTGCGAGGAGGCAAACCGCGAGAAGAGTTCAACATGCCCCTGCATCAGCATCTTCAATAACGCAACTCCTGTTTTCATGCATTGCACACTACTAGCAAACACCAAAATCACATCAACACGACCAACAAACACTACACAATCATTTGGCGTACGAGCTAAGGGGCACCAACGGTGCTGAACTACGCCGAAGCTTCCAGCCACAGCTGTAGCACCAGCAGGCACAGCGCCTGCAGGCGTGCACACCCCGTTTGTGCATTTTAAGTTGTCCGCCACTGACCCAAACGAACACTAACCGCTTTTTCGCCTGGCACGACACAGGTGGCGACTGCGCAGTCAAGCAATGAAATATGTACTCAGCCCCGCCCAAACATGTTGAGAAACAATGAATCTTGTAGTCGGCCCCGCCCAAACACAGCAGCCCCGACTCAAGAAAACTTTGCCAGTGAGACACTCATGTACCAAAAATCCGCTCAACAACGACAACAACCACACTCGCCCGCTGGTACTGTCGAGGGCGCACACACAGAGCCGACCAAGAAAAAAAGTACCAGCTCCAACAAGAACGCTATCAGCACCGACAACGAACCCCCGTCACCAAAATTCCTCCGAAAAGGCACAACACACTCCGACGCACGTCTAGGGAACCACCGAAAATGGTTCCACGCCAACGAGTGTTTGTCGCCAACAGGCAGAGCACAACGACCGGAGAATTTTGAGCCTACGCGGGGATCGCTAGCCTTCCCTCCCCTCCCCACAAATTTCTCTTCCGCGTCACCCCCATTAATCGGCGGTCAGATTCTCAAACTCGCCGCCATCTCCAAGACCCCAAGACCCCTCCCTCCCGAGATCGCTCGCCTCGCCGCCCCTTGGGCAAGCAGAAGACAGCGAGGACAGCATGGCCGGCGCACGACCAGCGGCGTCTTTCCCCCCCGCCAAATCCGCTCCCGCCCCTCCTGCATTTCGCGGCGCCCCCATTCCCGACCCCTCGCACCCCCCCCCCCCCCCCCCCCCCCCCCCCCCCCCCCCCCCCCCCCCCCCCCCCCCCCCCCCCCCCCCCCCCC